TGAAGTAGGCTGATGTACTCCCATTAACACTGTGTGCTAAGCAAGCAGGCCACACCTACAGTTTAGCAGAGTGGCGAACATCCGGAGACATTTCGAAACAGAAAGTCTTGAAACCTTGTACAACCCTACTCCCTTGCAGGACTTGTCCAATAAGGGCAGCGGCTGGGGTCCCTCCTCCCTGGCCCTTCACCTGCTCCTTGAGTAAGGTGCCCAGTGATCTTTTCCCATAGAAGCTAAGCACCAGCGATTGGACCCCAGGTGCAGAGGAGAGCCTCGGCCCGGGACCCAGAACTTTGCAGACCACTGGCTAGGCGATCCTCTGTGTCACCTTCCAGCTTGGAATCGGTTTCTCACCTGCGAAGTAAGATAATAGGACCCAACAGAGGAAGGTGGGACTTCATAAGTCACTGCAGGGAACGTGCAAGGCACGCACACGCAAAAGCCTAGAGTCACAGCGGGCAGTGTGGTTTGTTTTCTGCTTTGTTTCCTAACTCCAGAGTTGTGTCTTTTCCTTGGTCCTAGCCTAGGCCAGATCAAGGGCCATTTCAGTGGAGACAGAGACAGCAAGCCAGACTTGCCTTCCTCCCCATTTGCACTGGACACGCACGACTGAGGGTCTTAATCAACAAGACCGGAGGAAAATGTCTCATGTGCTGGTGTCCACGCATGAACAGGAGCCACTGTGATGCGCAAAAAACGCGTGTCAGGCATGCGTGCCTTCAGAGATGCTGTCTCCCAAAGCGCCTTCTTCCTCCAGCCGCTTCCCAGGTGAAGAGTTTCAGCCAAACTAACGGAATCCAGAGCGGTGGGAAAGGGGTCTGTGCGGGAGGGGCGACTCCGTCCCAGAGCCACCGGTTTGGGGATAATTACTTTTAATGTCAAAAAGATTTAGTTTAATATCATCTCTATTAGGCTGCCGGGAGGGTAATTAAACGAGACGCGTCGCAGCCGGCAAACAGATGGCGTCTGCTTGCTCCGAGGCTGCGGGCAAACAGCGCAAAAGTCAACGCTTCCCAGGCCCCCCATTGATGCCCCCAGCCCTTCTCCTAGTCAGTGGTACAGAATTCTCATTCTCGGCCCCCAACCGCAGGTTCCCCACCTGGGCGTTCCCTCTGGGCCTTCCCTCTGGGCCTCTGCTGTGGAGTGGCTCTGAGTGATGGATGGGGTTGGAATGAGGATGTGGAGGATTTCTTGGCTGGAGTGCACACACACACACACACACACCCCACCGACCCCGCCAGATGATTCTGAGCCGAGGATGCTTCGCTTAGCAAGTCTGAGTTGGGCCCTCGCTGTCAACCACTTCATTTGGAGCCTAGGACTTGGGTTTCCTCTGCCCTGGTCACAGAGAAGGGCTAGGGTTCCGTGCCTGAGGATATGCTCAACGTTGAGGGTGCAGACACTCGTGGGACTCTGCAGACGTCTGAGTTTGAGGTCACTCACCAAGTGGTTGTGCCCGCAGGGGAACATGCTCATGAGAGCATACGGTGGGGTCAAACTTTTTGAAAGGGTCCCTGGGGTGCGAGGGCAACGTCAGAGGTGAGCACGCCCCCCGCGGGGGCGTCCACTTCATGTGTACATGAAAGTGTATCCAAACCTGCAGTGAGTCCAAAACGGTGGAGTTGTGTATGTGCGTGCGTGCGTGTCTGTGTGTGTGTGTGTGTCTGTGTGTGTGTCTGTGTGTGGGGGGGGGGCTTGTCCTGTTGCCTCAACCTGGGTGCACTCTCTCTCCCTGAGGCTAGCGGCTCAGCTGGGCCATCACTTCCAGTCCTCCTGCTTCTGGGCAGCAGCTCCTTTCAGCAGAAGCTAACAGCGTGAGTGACCTGGGAAAGTGGGCAGAGGCATCCTACCGGTGAGGGCACGGTTATTTCAGCCCACACCGGGTTTCTTCTGCTTCCCCCTGTAACATTCTTTACATGACTACCATCAACCCCGACTTGTGAAAAGAGAGCTTGGCGTCTCAAACCTGTGGAGATACCAACTTGAAGAAAGAGCACCCGAAGAGAGGTCTGACCTGGGCTATGTGTCGGATGCGACACCTCCTGCTCATAAAATAAGGAGGTTTAATCCAGGTCCATCCAAGAGCTTGGGTTCCCGAAACCATTGACTAAGTCACCGTGGTATGGTCTTAAGCGCGAGAAAGGTATTTAGGCCACGGCTTCTCAGAAAACTAAGCAGATCTGGCAAATCTGGGTAGGTTGTTTGGGGTTTAAAAAAACTTCTGCAAAACTGTCTAAAAAAAAAAAAACCCTAGACTCAGGAGGGCGCGTGGAATACCGCAGCGCACGGAGCCCCCGCCCCCCCAGCAGGCCAGCCCTCTGGCAGAGCTAGGGTTACTCTGTGGTCTGACCCCTGGGGATGTTAAGAGGTGGGGGAGCTAACCCGAGCGCCTAACGCCCGAGAACTTCATGGCACCCTCACTCCACCTGCATCTGAAGACTCTTAACTCCCTACCAAATATTTTCTCAGGCTCCAAGAAAGGAACTTCGGCAACCAGGTTGCTATTCTGTCCTGTTCTGGTCCAAGCTCCCTTGAGTCGGGCCTGGCGAACTTTCCGGAAGTTGTCTGCCAGATTCTGAGGCTCATCGCCCCCTCAGGTCTCCTCACATCGGATCCTCAGTTGGCTTCTTGGACTGGGCGCATCCTGACCCTCGCAGGCCTGCTGTGGGACCCTGCTGACCTCGCCTTCCTTCCGCCCCAGCTGCGGGGCCGCCTGGCGGGAGGGGCTGGGGACCCAGACAGGCTCCGCGTGCCTAACAGGTGTGTGCATCTGCGTTGGCATAGACCTGATTCCCGAGGCCCAGGGGCTTCTAGAAAGCAAAGCAAAAAAATGCACGGTAGGGAGCGGAGAATAAATGAGATGGCATCGCTTTTCATTTGAACGAATTTTCTTTACTCTGAAGAAGAGAGAAAAGTAGAAAACAAAAAATGAGAGTAACAGAATGTTAGCCGCAAAGGCAGAGGCAGAGGCAAAGATAGAGAATCCGAGGGCGCCGCCGCCCAAGGACTTCGACGTCTGTTCCGAAAGGGAATAACTACGAAAGGATACAAAATTCGAACCTGTTACCTCCTGGGCAGACTGAACGGGTCCTGGGGCTGTGACGTCAGCACAAGTCGGTGAAGGCCAAGTGAAAGCTGGTGCAGGGCCCCCGCCCCCTGAGGTGGCCTTGTGGCCTGGTGGCCCGACCGACTGGCCCGTGCATCCAGCGTCCTAGAGGATTTGTGGAGGCGCAGAGGCTGCTCTTCTACTTTCGTTTAAAAAACAAACTCACAAGTAAACTTCGTTAATTTCTAACAACGACAAAAAGAGTTCCACCACCATCACCAGAAAGGGAGCGAGATGCAGAGGGCGCAGGGGGCCAAAGGACAGGGCTGGGACGCAGGGAGGGAGAGGCTGCAGCGCATGGACCCTCGTTCCTCCTCTGGGTTCCCCTCGTAAAAACGCAGATCTTTACAAATCACACTTACCCTCCGTGCTGCTCATGGTGTCAGGATTTAGAGAACGCAGGAACTAAGCATTAAAGGTGGCAGGGGAGGGGGGGGGAGCAAACCAGCCCTCAACTACCTCAGAGCCCGTCGGACTTGGGAACACACCGACGCCGTCAGAAGGAAGCCGGCGAAACCGTCTTGGCAAGTCTGCGGTGAACGCCCTCCCTCCCCCACCCCAGCACCCGGGTTCCACTCCCACTCCGACAGCGGTAATTGAATTGTCACCTGCCCCTGTCCCGCCCCAGGCCTCCAGGGCCACTTGGGAAGCTCAGCCTTGCCAAGCGCCCCGGGCCAAGACAGAGTGGCGCGGCGGAGAGGGCGCCCCAGAAGTAGAGGGGTTACACACGTCTACGCGGAGAGGCGCACCGGACACGGTAATTAGGAGCAATTCACACGCTCTCGGGCGCACGGAAACTTCTTGTCACGACATTTGCAACGCTCCTCCTCGCGCACTCCTTCCCTGGCGCCCCCTCCCTTCCCGCAGGCACTCGGCGGAGCGTTCCGAGTTTCGAATCTTTCGGACACTGTAGAATGAGGGGCTCCCCGGGCGCGGGCCCGGCCAATCAGAGCGCCGACTGCCTCCCCTGGCCAATGGCAGGCGCCACATTGTTGTCCAATTCTGTCTAATGGAGCCCCGAGGAGCAACAATAGAGCGGGCGAGCGGCTCATTGAGAGCTGGCAGCGCCGGGCTACCAGGCCCGGATTGAGCGCAGCGTCCGGAGCGCACCGAGGGGACGCGGGTTCCAACCAGCCGGCCCCCGGACGGGTACCCGGCCCCGAGTCCCCTCCGGATTGTTGGACTGCTGTGTTCCGAGGGGGAGGGGGTGTCCGGAAGTTCGGACATGGTGGCTGAAGGAGGGTGACGTGGTCAGATCAGGGGCCGGGGGCGAGGGGAAGAGGCCAGGAGAGCGGCGGCGCCAGCAGAGCTGGGCGGTGCGTGCGGCGCCAGCGGAGGAGGAGCCCGGAGCCTGAGGCAGGTAGTAGAGGGCCGGCCGCAGAGCAGGGGAGGCCACCCGGCTGACGGCCCCAGAGGGCGAGGCCTAGGCCCCGAGCGCCTCGGGGGCTGCATGCCTGAGGGTCTGGGGGTAGAGGCCCGGGCGCACGGCGAGGTGTGGGATTCTCAGACGGAGACCCCAGTGGCGGGGTCCGGCTCTGGCGGGGCCCCTGGCGCGGGGGCGGGGGCGGGGGCGGTGGAGGCCGCTGCGGAAGCCAGGAGCTGGGCCTGCTGGGCCTCTGCAGCTGCGGCGCAGGTGGGACTCCCCAGTCCCTCAAGGGTCACTTTCGGAGGCGACTCCCAGGCTTCCCTGAGGCCTGCTGGGGAGTGCACGTCCCAGGACCCGAGCCTGAAGACCAAAGCTCTGGAACTTGCGCAGGAGCGGGGTCCCCAGGGGTCCCAGAATGAGGAGGGCGTGTCTCAGGACTGGGTCCCTAAACTGAGGGCAGTGGGGGTTGGGTAGGAGGGGTTGAGGGAAAAGGAGATCCCGCAAAGCCTAACTTTGCGAAGATAGCCTTCCTCCTCGACTACTCCAGACTAAAGGTCTAAACCCCACGCCACAGGTCTCGCCCAACTAGAGTTTTTTCCTATTTATCCCTGTCGCTCTCCGTGGACCTGGGTCCGGGTCACCGTCTCAGCTGTTTAGGATGTTTTCCTTGTTATTCAAACTAATCTTTGCGCTAGATGGCCTATGCAAAGAAAGTTTGTTATTTTTCTGGTGGGTTTTCTCTTTAACCCCCCTCAGCTCTCGTAAATTCGGTTCCACATCTATTTTCCCTCCCACCCTTTGGAGGTTCCGACCACCGCAAGTCCTGAGCTCATTCTTTATGGGTCCCAGGGCCATAAACCCAACTTTGCCTCGAAGTTTGTGTTCTAGTTCTCACATTACTTTTGATAGGAAGGAAGTTCTTCAGTTCTTTTTCGCCCGAATTCCGCTGCTCCCGCATTAAAGGCAACAAGCAAGACCCCAACCCAGCCTGCTCAACCCCGCACCTCACCTCCATATTTCTGTCCCCTTTACCCTTCCACCAAAACTGAACGGTTTTTGCTCCGTGTATTTTTGCTTTGCTTTTGACATCAGCTTAATGGCTCCACGTTTTCTCTGTAATCTGAGTCCCTTTCAGGCACACATTTCTCCGTTCTCATCTCACCCCAATTAACCTAAGCGTTGGGCATAATATTTTCTTTTCAAATTCTCCTTACATTCAACTGAACCATTGACTTCCAAACTTTGTCTCCCCCCGCCCCATGGAGGAACTACTGATTCAAACGAAATCTTTCACCTGGCACGTAAATCGGATATAATAACAGCATCAGTGAGGGGAGTTAGGGGGAGTCGTATTTACAAGGAGGTTCCGAATGTACCTTTCCAGCAACTAACCAAACGTGTACAACCAAAGCTGTCCTAATCTCGGTTTCTGCCGGCCGCGCTTGAGTCTGGCTCATTGTACAGCCCTCACTCAGGTCTCCCCACTTTTCCCACGCCAGGTCCAGCCATGGAGCTGCGCTCGGAGCTGCCCAGCGTGCCCGGCGCCGGGACGGCAGCAGCGACAGCGACGGGACCTCCCGTGGCCTCAGTGGCGTCGGTGGCCGCGGCGGCGGCTGCCGCAGCGTCGTTACCAGTGAGCGTGGCCGGGGGCTTGCTGCGGGCGCCGCCCCTGCTGTTGAGGGCAGCGGAGAAGTACCCGCGGACGCCCAAATGCGCGCGCTGCCGCAACCACGGAGTGGTGTCTGCGCTCAAGGGCCACAAGCGCTACTGCCGCTGGAAGGACTGCCTGTGTGCCAAGTGCACGCTCATCGCCGAGCGCCAGCGCGTCATGGCGGCACAGGTGGCGTTGCGCAGGCAGCAGGCGCAGGAGGAGAACGAGGCGCGCGAGTTGCAACTGCTGTATGGTACTGCCGAGGGCCTGGCGCTGGCCGCCGCCAACGGCATCATCCCACCGCGGCCTGCCTATGAAGTCTTTGGCTCTGTGTGCGCCACCGACGGCGGGGGGCCCGGAGCTGGAGCGCCCGCGGGGAGTGCCGGGGGCGCAGGGGGCGCAGGTGAGAGCGGGGTCGTGCAGGGGGTGAGGTGGGGGATGGGGTCTGGAAGGAGGAGCCCGGAACCCTGCGCTGGTGGCTTGTTTCCTTAGTGACAGAGAGTACAGCTCCCTTCCCTAGATGATCTGCCTACTTACTGTAGCTCACCACCCACACAGCTTCTACACAGGCCCATAAACTCTCTGACCTGTCTGCAGTTTTACTCTCTATTCCTCTCCCTCACATCAGGCCCCAAAGCAACACTTAAGCCTTACTCTTGCCAAAGGGCAGGTTCTTAGTTTCTGCCCAACTCATTTGCTGGGCTTCCCGGCAGCCGGAAGCCACAGATCCGTTCTGCTCTGAGCTCACAGGCCATCTCGCGCTTTCCTTCCCAACTCTTGTGAAAGGACCCGCAGCAATCCTTCTAATCCGCATTTACTTTCCTGAGTACCGGAGACGCCCTCTTCCATTGCTCAGCAAGATTCCTTTCCTCTGGTTCCTAGGGCATTTTGGATAAACATTCGCTGCGTTCCCTTGGTTCTGGCTTCTTCCCCCCTCCCCCCAACACATGCCGGTTTTCTCATGGTTGGCACGTTTTCCTTTTTCCTGGGCTCCTAGTATACGCACACCACTTTCTGCATTCTAGAAGGTTTTTCTTGAGGGACGCAATTAGGAGTGGGCCGTGGGTCGTGGAATGGGTTGAGCTTTCAGATTGGGGGAAGGGCATTTCTTAGGTCATAATTTTGAAAAATGTAGACTAGAAACAGGATGTAACTTATTTTGTCTGTAGAGAGCATTAAGACCTAGTCCCCCAAGATGCCCACTCTTCCAGACTGTGATCTCAGGGTTGGCTTTGGCATTCTGAGCGGAGTAGTGTGGTCCATGCACTGTGTAGAGGTTCTGTTTGCTCTGATTTGAACTTTGACCAGACCACTTCTCTAGAGCGGGATGGACATGGGAAGAGGGTGAAGAGGGTGGAGGTGTTGGGCACAGGTGTGGAAAGAGTGCACTGAACATTGTTTTCAGGGTGCCAGGTGGTTGGGGTTCTAGGTACAGGCTAAAAAGTGTGAGCCTTGGAGCGGGGGGAAGGGGAGAGCAGAGAGAGAGAGAACTGTGGGGTTTTATAAAAATATTATCGCAGAGCTGGAGCCCTGCCATGGATAGTTTGGAAGTTGAGAATGATAGGAAACTTGCATTCAGCAGGCCTAAGTGTGGTGGGTGCAGTGTCCTTAACTTCTCCTCACATCTTCGTTTTACCCTCAGAGGCCAAGTTACAGAAGTTTGATCTGTTTCCCAAGACTCTGCTTCAAGCCGGCCGCCCCGACAGTCCGCAGCCGCAGCCTGGGAAGCCCTTGTCGCCCGACGGCGCGGACTCGGGTCCGGGGACCTCATCCCCAGAGGTGCGACCCGGCTCAGGCTCGGAGAACGGAGATGGCGAATCCTTTTCGGGGTCGCCTCTGGCCCGGGCCTCTAAGGAGGCAGGTGGCAGCTGCCCTAGCAGCACGGGCCCTGGCGGTGGCGGCGAGGAGGACAGCCCTGGCTCTTCCAGTCCCCTGGGTTCCGAATCAGGGTCAGAGGCTGACAAAGAAGAGGCCGAGGCCGCACCGACTCCGGGGCTGGGTGGCGGCCCGGGTCCGCGGCAGCGGACGCCGCTGGACATCTTGACGCGCGTCTTCCCAGGCCACCGGAGAGGCGTCCTGGAGCTGGTGCTGCAGGGTTGCGGCGGCGACGTGGTGCAGGCCATCGAGCAGGTGCTGAACCACCACCGCGGAGGCCTGGCGGCCGGCCTGGGCCCCGGCGCGCCGCTGGAGAAGGCCACGGTGAGCGCGGCCGTAGCGGTGGACGACGCGTGGCCCGGGCGCGTGGACGCCGCAGCCGCCGGGGGGCCCGGGCTGCCCGCTCCGCTGCAGAGCGGGCCCGCCGCGCCCCCGCACCACAGACCCTTGCTGGCCGGGGCCATGACGCCGGGCGCGCTGGGATCGCTCAGCAGCCGCTCGGCCTTCTCGCCGCTGCAGCCCAACGCCAGCCACTTCGGCGCCGACGCGGGCGCCTACCCTCTGGGCGCACCTCTCGGCCTGAGCCCGCTGCGCCTGGCCTACTCGGCGGCGGCGGCCCACAGCCGCGGCCTGGCCTTCATGGCGCCCTACTCCACCGCCGGCCTGGTGCCCACGCTCGGCTTCCGCCCGCCCATGGACTACGCCTTCAGCGACCTCATGCGCGACCGCTCGGCCGCCGCCGCCGCCGCGGTGCACAAGGAGCCCGGCTACGGGAGCGGGCTGTACGGGCCCATGGTCAATGGCACCCCCGAGAAGCAGTAGGACACGGGCCCCGCAGCCCGGCGGCCCCAAACACTGACCCAGCCTGCTCCCCAGCCACGGGCCCCTCCTCTCCCTGCCCCGCGCCCTCGGCTCCGAATTGGCTTTGGGGATTTGTTTTGAAGGGTGGGAGCACCTCGGCTAACCACGCAGGTGTCCTCTGAGGGGCCTTGTGGTCTGGGTGCTCGGTCAGCCTCAGGCCGCCTTCCACCAAGCCTGCTCGCCTTGTGGTCAAAATGCCGGGGATCTCTAAGAATCCCGAGGGCGGCTGTGGCCATGCCTGCCCCTGCTGCTCCCTCTGCTCCGCTCGCCTTGCCAGCACCGCGCTCAGGTGGACGGCAGGACAAATCAGCCTCATGTGTGTCCTCCAGTACCCACTCCCCTTTCATTAAAAAAAATCCACTCCAACAAATATAAATTTAGGATGTATACATCTCTTGGCACTGAGTCGAGTCTTTGGGACACGCATATATATCGATATCAATTGTAAAAAAACAAACAGGAAACGTTCTAAGGTGCACTTTCCTCGTTGCGGTATTTGTCGCTCTCTTTGTTGCTTATGCCGATAAGCATGGGTTTCCTTGGTGCAGTGTGAGTTTTTATATATGTATAAATCTATATATAATCTATACATATATATATACAGCCAGTGTATAATGTTATAAAATGGAATTCTAAGTTATTGTAATCTGTAGGTGACCTCGGTATTAACGTGAAAAACATTCAAAATCAAAGCAAAAAAAAGGACAAAATGGGAAAATTGGACTTTTCGCGAATTGTACGTATCGGGTTTTATAGATGAGATCTACTGTACGCTGGGGAGGAACCCTGCCCACCCCTCGCCTCTGGCCTGCGGCTGTTCTTCGTTTCGGAGCAGTCCAGGCCGCTCTGAAGCACGAATAGAGTCGGGTGACAGAACCAGAAGCTCCGGGACTCGCCAGCGAGCGACGCTGCGGAGAACTGCTCACTTTGTGCTTTCCTTTGCATAGGTATGAGCTAGAAATAAATGTTATTTTCTAAATAAAGCAACGCTGAATCCCGTTCCGCTCCCCAGGCGGCTGGGAAGAAAAGCTTTTGATTTCCCACTGGGGCTGAGATGCTAGGGAGCTATAGATCGTGCCATTGCGCCGCCCCCCCCCGACCCTGGAGGGACCCCGACAGGAAGCTTCGGGTGACGCCTGGGACAGCGCAGGGGGATGTCATTCTGGGAACTTTGGAAGAGGCCCCACGAGGGCGTGGTGAGCTTGCTGACCTGGCACCCAGGTCCTGAGTAGCTTGCCTGGTCAGGCGCAGGTTCCCGCCACGCAGTCCGAGCCTCCGGCTCCCCCACCTCCGCAGGTGTCCGCACCGCAGGCGGAGCCTCCGACCCTTCCCCGGCAGGTTCCAGCACAGCCCGCAGGTCCTCTGGTTCCGCCAGCATCCTCCCCCACCCCCACCACTCCTGTCCCAGCAGGTTGCGGCCCGGCCTCGAGTTCTTTCCCCGCACAGACAACCTAGCTGCGGTCCGGGTCGCACAGTGCACTAATGGCTTTGGCTTTGGAGACCAGGACGCTGGACTGGGCGGTCGGGAGGTGGCCTTGACACTTGTGGCCTGCGAGTTATTGGGGGCCATGGGATACCACTTTTTCCCCCGAAGTAGTGTACTGAGTGGCAGTAAGGAAGCCCCTTCGGGTCAGGCCACCGCGCACCGCTTTTGGGAATTAGGTGTCCCTCTGCCGACCCCCATCACCGACTAAACATCCCTGTCTCCTGCTCTCCGCAGGGTCACTCCTCCACTCCAGGAAATAGGGTGCCCCCTCCCCTAGACTGGGCCCGGAGACATCCCAAGGTAAACTTCTGGGGCCGGCTCGAGTTCCGCCAGGCGGTGAAACTTAATAGCAGGACAAGAAAACGGTTTAATAAAGAAGGGCTTTAATAGGGAACTAATTTGATTGAGTTGCCTAATTCCACTTTAATTGGAAAGGGGGTTTGGCTGTTTGGTTATAAAGTGTGAGGGTGATGATGAGATGGGGCGGGGGCGGGTGAGAGAAGAAAGATGCTGGTAAGAAAGAGATGAGTCCGGAGAAAGAATGAAAGTGGAGGGGTTAAATGAAAAGGAAAAGTCAGGGAAATAGAGGGACGAGGGAGAAAGTGCGCAGGAGCTCAGCAAACCGCGGCCGCTTCCCTCTCTAGCCTCGCCTCCTCTCACACTCCAACTTTCCCAAGACCTCAGGCCTAGCTCCCACCAACACCCGGCTTTCTGCTGGACCGCAGGCAGCCAGGAAAGAGAAGCTAAGATCTGCAGCTCCCTTGGTTTCGGAAGTGACCTACACTGGGTCCCCTGAAGCTCTTGGATTGCCGTCTCCAGCGTTCCGGTCAAATTCAAGCAGGGAAGCCACAGTCCATTCCTAAGAATATATCTGGGCCTCCAGAGTTTCTAGATGGTTATTTTTAGTTCACTCGCAGTGAAGTTTGTCCTATTGCCCTATTTAACAGAGGAGGAAACATGTCCTGAAGACTAATGTCAGGATCTCCTCTCCACGATCCCTGCGGGTCTGCCTTCTCTTAGATCCGTGCATAAAGCTGCCTTTGCTGGCACCCGGTGTAGGGGCCGCAGAAACATCTGTCTTGTATTCCTAAGTGGCTTGTTGGGACAGCACAGGTAGCCAGCCGGTGCCCTAAACTGGGGTCGCCAGCACCCAGTTAGAGCTCAAGAATGGGTCACGAGCAGAGGGGATCAGAAGGGCGGGTACTGAAGGCTCCCTGGGGTGGCTCATTGTGGCGGCTCAGGCCGGGTCCTGAAACCCAGAGAGGCCAATCACAGTCTGGCAAAGTCCTGCTGAGGTGCTGCTCCCTGACCCGCAGCTCACAACCCCTGCGCAGTCTGGAAGAGATACCAGGACTAAGGATGAGAAGCCCAGTTCAGAGGTCACTCCCACTGGGGTGTCTCGGGCAGAGCAGTGGGTGGCAGGGGCAAGCCACCGTCTAGGCTCCTCTGCTTTTTCTACTCGTGTCTGCAGCTGGGACGCACCGTGGGGGAGGACGCCTGTCCCTAGGCCCTCCTCTGAGATGGCAGCAGAGCCAGTACCAACATAGGAGAAAGCGACTTTGGATTCCCTTCTCTGATTTCTGTTGTCCACGTTTATTCTCAAATTCTCACGAAGCCAGTTGGAACCAGCCCTTGCCCGGGCATGAGGAAGACTGAGACTCCCGCCTCTGCGGCTAGCTCAGGCTGGTGGGAGACAGCTTCCGGGAAATCGCGCTTTTTACATTCTCATCTTCTTCCTCTTCCAATACTACTAGCCAGTGCCTAATGTGTACCGGGCCCTGTGCTGAGCATGCCCCAGACAACTGAGAAGGTGTCAAGAGCTGGTATCCGTGTTCTACCCCTGGCCGGGGTTTTTCAACACCCTTACAAAGTATGTTATGCCGGGGTTATTCAACACCCATACAAAGTATGTTATGCGCTGTAGCTGGATGCTGGATGCATTTACAGGACCGAGTTTACAAGCGAATGGCTGAGACCATAGGTTGGTGATGAAGCTACAGTTGTAACTGAAACCATGAGGAGGGGCACTTCACTCTGCTGAGAGGCCTCAGAGAGGCTGCCCTAGGGAGGCAGGAGAGGCCAGGTGCTTAACCTGGCTGCCACCTCTATTAAATGGTGAGAATAGTATAGTGTGTTTCTCTGGGCACCGTGAGGAGTAAATAATGTGTAAAAAGCTCTTAGCTTGGCGCTTGTTCACTAGGTGTTTGCTATTGTGATTCTCATATCGTTTGGTGTGGGCACTGTCCCATTTGAAAGAAAAGCAAGCTCCTTGGAAGAACTGGACGACAGCAGCAAGTTTGCTTATAAATCCCGAGTTCCCTCCCTGTATCATGGAAGATACTTTGCCCAGGTCCCCGGGACCACGGGTTCACCAGAGAGGATGATTCTGCAAATGGCTCTGAGGGGAGATGAACCAGGATAAGGCAGGCATCACCGTGGGACAGCATTGTAACCCGATTAGGAAGCTGAAGGATCAGGATTAGGCAGAGCCGCTACGGAGACTAAACAGAGGTCAGAAGTCAGAGAGCAGCCAGCCAGTGAGTTCCTGCCAGAGGAGTCCTAGGAATGTGGGGTTTGCCTGTGAGGTGCACAGAGCTGTGGGCAGCAGACATGTGCCTTTGGTAGATTATCTGGGGAATGGTCACACCTTACTGAGGAGGAGACACGGAAACGAATAGTGTTGAAAATGTTCAGTGGGAGCAGAAGGTGGCTTCCTGGAGGATTCCCAGGTGTGTAGGCTGGGAAGGGCAGTTAGTGGCACGAGCCCCTCAAGCAGAGGCAAGACTGGAGTGAGAGGAAAAGTTTGCTATTCTACATACAGTTTGAAAGACTTGCAGATTATCTGGGGGCAGAAAGGCAGAACAAGTCAACACATGGACTGCAGCAGGAACTGGGAGGATGAAGAAGCCAATATTCCCTAGAGAAATGATTTATTGGGGGCTACGGGCCTGGGATAGGTATGGAGGCCGGGGCACTATTTCTGTTCATGCCAAGAGAAACATCCTCTTAACAATCGTTCTCCTAGTGCTTTGCACCCAAGGAGGCCATCATTCTGAGAGGGCCTTGGCCTGTTCTCCCTGGACACAAATGCCAGGGCTCCTCATATGTATAGCAACTCCCTTTCAGCCCTCCTTTCTGTGCATACTCTCTGGCCCTTCAAAACCAGTTGCTCTCCCCCCCTCCCCCTTTGTCCCTGGGCCTCTGCACCCCAGTCACACCAAGCTCCTCAGACTCACCCAACATATGGCCACCCCACGAGTCCTTCTGCTTAGAAAGTCCTTCCGGTTCCCCCTCATTAAGAGGACTTTTCTCAAGCCCTCCAAGCCTCACTTTTTCTGGTGGGTTTATTATAATACTAATGATGCTTAAGGTTCTGGGCTCCTCATCTGGGCAGGCCCCTCTCAAAGCCTTAGCTGTGTATGTGCCAAAAGACTTCTTTTTCTTTAAGCTTCAAGTCCCACTAAAACTATATCAGTCGCCGCCCAATTTAGTGCAGTTGGGAAGGTCTGTTCCTGTCTTTTCCTTTGTTGCATAATAAATGTTCCCAAATTTAATAACTTAAAACAAGAAACATCTTACTGTCTTATGATTTTATAGGTATGAAATTTGATCCAGTGGTGGACAGGTCATTTTTTTTTCTCCATATATTGTAGGTTGACATATCCTGGTGACATTAGGCTGGTGGGCGTGTTACCCTGGAGGGTCTCAGACAGTGACAATCACATCTGATGCCCTGGTGTCCATGACTGGCAGGCTTGTGACTGGGCGCCAGTATGTGGTGGCCTCAGGATCTCAGACCTTTCAGGCTTCAGGATCTCAGACCTTTCAGGCTTCAGGATCTCAGACCTTTCAGGCCTCAGGATCTCAGACCTTTCACGCGGTGACTCCTGGTTCTGAGGCAGGTGCTCCAGCAAGCAAAGGAAAGGAGGTGTGGCCTTTTATGACCTAACACTTCCGGGTCAGAAAATATGACAAAATTGTTATCTTCGAGTGACTATGTCACCAAGGTCACACTGAGTTGAAATGATTTATTCTTTCATTTCCTTTTCCTCCTCCCCCTTCTTTGTGAAATTGTAGAACTAAAAGTCCCAAGTGCATTTTGGGAACAGAGCCAGCTGCTCACATGCTGTCAGTTGAGCAGTTCTCTGTCCGGCTCAGATCAGCTGTAATCCAGGGTACCAGGCAGCCTTTTTCCAAATGAAGAGAGGAAGGCTTGTCATAGCTGCCAGTGGCTTCAGGCTTATGCTCAATTTCCCTCTCACATATTTGAGTAAACCATCTTGGAGCTGACTCATTGGGAATACTTTGCCTTTTCCAGGACCAGTCTCATGACTGCAACGTTGGCGCTAATGCTTGGCCTCACTTCCAAAGAGGGTCAAGATGCCAATTTGCCCTAACCAAACCACAGAGGCCACTAGATAGGATAAATGGTTCTGCCTTTGTAGGAGCAGGAGGGGGTGTCTATAGTTCTTATACTCACCAGTGCTGCCAGAGCTC